AGTACCCCAGGCAGTAAACTGAATATATGTAACAAGATTAAACACTTCATTAGTTAATAAACCACAGGCTATATTAAACCTTTTTGTATTTGCTTGTAGCCTATCATTCGGTCAGTTAAATCTAGACATAAACAGAAATGATTTGATTTTAGACCATCAGGTTGATGTTATGTTCTAATAATGTCTATTTTCCATTGTCCACTTGTAACAAGTCTACTTCTTCTCCTGAAGGATTTTTAGGAAATTGGTACATGTAGGAATATCTTGTGGTGCTACTTTTCCAGATAAAGCCCTGGAGTCTCATTTGTGCTTTCATTTATCTGACATTTGTATCTGACTTTATAAATTTATGATGGAAATCAAAAATTTTGTATTAAGTTATAGGCCTTTAATGTAGAGAAATATTTTGAGTTCAATTATTCAATTCACTCAACTTCTATTTTCAAGTGGTTGCAATCACAGAGAAGAGATTGCACTTCAAATAGGTCATTGTTTGGCTGTCATTTCTGACTGTTGGTCAGTTGTTATCACCCACCCTAGCCTTAAACACTAGCTAAATAGTTGTCAATTTTGTTAAATAAGAAACCAAAGATAAAGTATGTAGGTAATTTGGATGTTGATACAGTGAAATTAGTCTATTGTAGATTGTAGATGTAGGTAATTTGTATTGTCAGTAAATTATAATAATCTAGCTAATTCTTGTTTCTCCAGATTATTGACAGTGTTCGACTCCTAATGAGATTTTCAATACTAATTATTTCTAAAATTTAAATTTGTTATATATACTTGTCAAGGGTTGTGAGTAATTGTTCAGATTGTACAAAAACAACATGACCCTGTGTATAAACAATTAAAAGATGAGTTGGTGAAAAAAGAACTGCTGAAAATCTCTTCCTTGCAATAATTTGGTAACCAAAAAAATACTTTGATGTTAGCATTGAAAGTAAAGTGTTAATGCCAAAGTATAGTCCAATTCAATTCCATCTACTTCTGCAAATAGCTCTCTTGCAAAACCATTTTGAAAGTTGTGTCTATGTATAAAAAATAGACATTAATAAATAAATAATATGTCCAGGTATGATACATAAATTTATAAAAAAATACGTCCAGGTATTAGTATAGTATTATGTTGCCTGCCAAAAACAATAAGCTACTATAGTTGATGTGTTTTATATTAGATACTGTAAAACCACCTGTGATGTTTCTAAGGATATCTGAGGTGATATGCTCCATATATTTGCTTTAGTTGTACCATATAAGATGATTTAGATCACTCACATTTATTGTATGAATGTGCGTAGTTATAATATGTATACCAATAAATATTGGACAACTGCCATTTAAGGATTAAATCATAATGTTTGCCTTAAAGAAGTATTTACCTGTAATTTGATAAATTCTTAGTAAATAATATTTATAATATAAAAAAGGTGTTTTAGAAGATTCCATCTGAAATTTCATATTTTTAATTTTGGGGCAGACAATATAGTCATTATCATTTAGAATTACTACAGTTAATAGGTTTCATTTATTTTTTGACCTTACATTGTAATCGAGCTGATATTCTGTCCTTGTGAGAGTTCTGATTGTACATGTATCAACCAATCATACTCTTACAACATAACCATAATACACCACAAAATGCAGCCCTTAATTACCTAATCAATCCAGCCTTTTACCAATGATAATCAAGATAATCATTTCAGTCAATATATTTTGGAATTTTGAATATTATTCACCATATCTTGATGTCCGATTGGGCATATTCCAGGTCAGACGTTTTGAAAATCTCATAGGACATGTTCGGGATATATGTGAGAAGTAGCATCCTTGCTTAATACATGTACCAATACGAACTAAGTGATCGTTGAAAATATATTATTTACAGCAATGTGATTAATATCATATCTTAATGAGATTGTATGAGGATTAATTGGAGCCCATGTGGTAATAATCACATTTATACAGTATAAATATTAACCTTATTCACCACATACAGTAGTTACCACAACTTTCCCTAGGATTTATGTCTAAATATGGATGGGTGAAAGTGAAAGTGTCAATGCAATTAGTCATATCTTGTATAAAATATTATACAGGGTTATAATGACATTAGTGTATACAGGTATGATAAAACGAGAGAAATAAAACCTATTATCAACTCCACACCTGAATTTACACAAACATGGATGAATATTCAAGAAAAAAAAAGAAGAGAAGTTTACTTGTTATTCGGTTACAATTAAATGCATGTCAACATTGTGTTTAAGATTTGTCATGTCATTAATGTTGACCTATGCATCTAGCGATAGAATTTTTTCTAGAAACCACAGAGAACATGTACATGTTATTTCACTCCTATAAATATTTCAGGATGTCATGTTTATTTGTCTTCTGATAATCCTTTTCCATTGTTTTTCAATCTAATTAAGATTATAACTTTATTGTTCTGATTTTCTACATTACATAAGAACTAACATATATTTTGTACCACTGTTCTGACTGAGACCTTAATTAGTTTATAAATAGATCACAGAAGATGTCTTGGCACGATTGGAAGCCCTGTGTTTTCATTGACTGTTTACAGTACACAAGTATGCAGAAAAAACGAATGCACTGTGTAAAAAGAGCTAAAGACATTTAGTATTAGCCCATGATCAATAAAAAGATGGATATTTGATGAAAAAAAAATCTCCTGGATTTTCCTGTTATTTTCATTGCTGGTCTCCTGTTTTTTTGATACCTGGGGGTTGACATGTCTGAGTAGAACATAAAACATTGATGTTAAGTATTATTTAGTTTGGTAAACTATAATATACAGAAAATAAAATTAAAAAATATCAAAGAGTTTTATCAGACTGATTTTTTTTTTTGTTAATCAAGTTAACTATTCATGTAGTTAAATGGGTCTCACAACAAGGAAAAAATAATCATAAGATTGACAACCAAAGCATTTTGATATCTTGAACCATCTTTGATCCTTTTCTCTAACAGTATATTGCAGTGGTCTTTAATCTGGAGTGATCAGAGATTCTAGGACGCATACCTTACTGTGGTAGGCAACCAAGGCAAGTCAGTTTCCTTGTTAAAGGGGTGGTGTGCAATGTGGGTCTTGGTAGTTTTGTTGTAAGTAAACTAGACTCTTGCCTAGAATGTCCTGGGTTCAAATCCCATCACGGACCAAGAAGATCTTAATGCCTGTGGGACTGACAAGAAAAGTGCCACTAGTCATTAAGATGTGCATATTTATTTTCAAGTAAATGAACAGTTCACCATTGGAATATGATGAAAAGTTAGCAGAAACACCACATTAAACTCCATTCTTGTTTCCAGTTATATAATTTATATATGAGTAATGTCAGCCCTATCATTGACTTAAAAACTGATAATTTTGTATACTGATATGAATTTCTATTGAGGAGACAATATTGCTTTCTAAGTTTAAAGCTTTCAATAAGAAAGGTGTTTCCTCTTTTCTGCTTACCCCATGGTACATTATTTACATAGTTATGTTTATTCATGACCATGAATTATGAGGCACAAACACATGTGTATAAAAGCTGGATTAAAACTGTTGAGCATTCTAATGAAATAACTATTACAGTGTATTTATAAATGCATAACATATAGTTATTTTTGACTTGTGGTTAATGGTATGTGTACCTTCTAGAAGTTAGAATAAACATTATATGTCCATTTGAATTTTATGTTAGCGACACAACTCTACATGCATTCACAGTACAAAGACAGCCGTTAAAATGTCTTATTCAATCATGCTGGGTCACAGTCAATGGAGATAACCTTGTCTAGAGGTATTTTATTTGAAATCAGTTTTATTGTCAACAATTTTTATGGCGAGAATATTTTACTTTTGTCGACACATCAGAATAGGAATGTTATTTTTATGTAATTGAAAAGGTGGGCATAATAAATTTGTATATATTATTTGTGAGACATGTTTTATCCACATTAATTAATAATGCAGTGTGGCAGAAAGTTGGTAAACATTTTCATTATATTTTACAAAAAAAATGGCTGAAAAGTATCCTTACAAATAGTAATTAAGATGATCAAGATAAAAACATCTTGATAATATCTTGACATCAATGTTTATGCTTAGAAAAGGGTTATTGATCAGAAAATTACAAGAAATTGAAAACTGTGGAATCATTAAAAATTAATATCAATGAAATGAGGTGTAATAAAACTGTTAAAGGTACTTATCTCACATGGGGTCTCACAATGGCTCATATTAACTGGTTCACTAACCGGGACGGATGTCCTAGGTTTGATCTCGGTGTTGGCCGCGAAATTCGCCCAGGACTTTCCTGCGTGGGATTCCCCTTGTCAAGAGGTGAAAGCAGGAGGGGTGGGTCTTTCTGATGGGACGAAAAACCGAGGTCCCTTGTGCACCTTGGTTTGCACTTAAAAAAAACCCTTCACAGTTTGATTTTGAAATAAGAGGAGGCTGTAGTGCGCTTTTCGAGAGCAAAATTATATTCACAACACACTGTATGGCGTATGGCTTTCGTCCGTCTTCATTAGGATGTTAAACCCCATTGCATTTCATTTCTTTTCTTATCCCACATGGTATTGTGGGATGTATTGAGACATGTTTAAAAGTCCAGACATAATATATGTGCAAAAGTAGCCAGTATGGTGTTTCATATGTGTGCTGTACTCATACAAATAAAGGTGCGGTCTTTATGGTTCAATAAAACATATGAAGAATTGACCATCAGTTGTTTAAAGACCCTCAAATTTCTACCTGTGTTATGATAAACCAAACATTGAGTCTCTAATCAATCATAGTATTGTCACCTGTAAATCTTCCATATATCAAACAACTTACCTGACTTAACGAGTTTGATACATACTTATTATACAAGTATAAATCCATTCATCTGACATATGGGGCAAGGTTGTAAATAAACCCAAACTTCTTTCAAAAATTAATTGTCTCTTGGTCTGATTTTAAAGAAGTTTTCTTTTGTTTTCAGCAGTGGATTATTGTAACTAAATCAGAATTTCAGAAAGTAAAAAGCTCAAATAAAGGTAAGAAATTTATATTTTTGGATATAAGATGTCATGAATTTATGTGATTGTAACAACATGCAACTTCTTATTGTGTACATTTGTGTGTGAATACCAATTAAATATATAATCTGTGAATTGTTTTTCATCATGTCAGCTAAATTCCCATTTATACATGTACAATATATCTGTCTGGTGAAGTGTTCTTGATAGTACCTAGGATTGTTCCTGTTATTATTCTTGAATTGTTCCTGCTTTTTCCTTATTTAGTGAGCATACCATTCTATGATTGCATCTGTCAGTTGTTCCAGTTAACATTGTAATATTTTCCTGTCAGCAATTCTAAGTTGTTTTTGTCCACATTTGGGAGTTGTTCTGGTTTACTTTTCTGGTTCTAGTTTATAATTTGTGATTTGTTCTTGTCCATATTTGTGGTTTGTTCTTTTGAACATTTGTGGCTTGTTCTATTTTACGTTTGTGAAAATTTTCTGTTCATGTTTTCTGTTTATTCCTATATAAATTTGTATCTGTAGCTATTTGCTGTTTTCATTTGTGGGTTGTTCTTGTTTGTTTGCCATTTGTGCTTGTTTTCATTTGTGGGTTGTTCCTGTTGCTGTTTGTGCCCTCCTGTTAAGATTTGTGGTTGATACTTGCTTGCACTTGTGCTTTAATTTATTTGACAAGTTATTTCCAAAAAGGCCAAGATAACAAGAAAAATTCAAGATAACACATCACTTTTAGGATTATCACTCTTTTATACTGTGGTACATGTTTACTGCATATGTTGGAATCGTGTCGAGTGCATTTTATTTTTATCTTGAACAAATTTAAAGGAATCTGGTTGTAATATGCCAACATCTAATGATTACAATTTCAGATGGTGAAAATCGTGGCATGGTAATTGAAATATATTTAAATTGTTTTGTCGTATTTAAGGACCACCATTGATCATGACCGCTCCCAGTATTATATAGTTCAGGTTCTGTTTACTTAAATCTGATTACCAACTTATGGTATAAATAGTAATGGGCATTAATTGAGCATTTACTTACGAAAATAATTGACTTCAATTAGCAAACATCATTTTTGTCATGCGATATTATTGTTTGTTCTGTAAATCGAATGAAGAAACTAAACTAAGTTCTTTAATTCCTCAAAAACTGATCCCAGAGAAGTACAAATACATGTAACAGTAACAGATCAAAAGTGTTAATAACATGACTTTGAAATTTCTGATTTGCGTGATTACATTTAATGAATATCAATTTGGCAACTTAGTAAACAGCTAGTATAAAAGTTTTTTTTATGGAAATGCTTAATATTTTAGCTTGATTTATAGATTGTCTACTGTAATATTGTTACCATTATGTTGAATTATCCCATGACTATCTGAATCGATACAGTGTGATACAATTTTAATGTCATCCTTTGATAAAATTTGCTATTAAAGTTGTTTCTGTTGATGTTTTATATGTTTAGAATGCATTTTATTTGTAATAGGAACAGTAAGTCAATAATATTTTGGTTTTTTTATTTCATGTAAGTATGGTGATACTTTTTTCTGTAGAGGTCAAGACCTGGTTTTGTACACTGCATCAATTACATGTCTGGATGAATGCAAAAAAAAAACTATTGCTCAGAAATCTGCACCCACATTTTCTAAATTTTTATCACAAAAAATATATTGTTTGTTTAGCAGACTGATTTTTAGGGTTATGGCGTAGGGTTATCTGTGGACATGTGAATAAAGGTACACATACATCCATTGATTTTGAAAATATTTACTTTGAATAATGAACATGCGCAGCTGTATGTAACAATAGCTTCCCCGCTTTTGAAAATACAGTTATTGGCTTAAATATTTTTTATCGAGCAGCTCAGTTAAATTTGAGCTGACATACTGCGGAATCAATCATTGCTTATTATTGTTCAACCGTCCATAATGTCTATGATTGCATAGGTTGCATTTTGTCCATGTTTGCTTCACTGAAGCTGTATACAACTGCCAATTAAAATAGTTGAATAATTTGTGGGACTGTATAAAACTGCCAATTAAAATAGTTGAATAATTTGTGGGGCTCAGTCAGTATGGGGCTGGCTCACCAACCAGGAGGTCCTGGATTTGTTCCTTGTGTTGGCCATGAAGTTCCTCATGTTTTTCCCGCCTGGCTTCCTCTTGTCAATGGTGCAGGATTTTATTTAATTTAAAGAAAACAGTAATAAAAGACTTTATACATGTAGATTATTGTTACATGTAATTATTCTCGTTAGGATTTAATTGTGAATATTTGAGCTTGACTGAGTTTTAATAATGTTTTAACCCCATGATTTCTGTTATGCTATAGTTTATTAATGAAAGTATGTATTTACAATATGTAACACTAGTTTCATTTAGCTGATCAACAGATGTTGTCAAAGTATATGTACATGTGTCAGACATGAATAAAGATTCTTGGAAAAAATCATCAATACTTTTATTCAGCAAAAATTACCCAGAATATATTTCCTGTCAATCAGACTTGAAACATTAGGGTTCCTATGTTTAATACTTTTGCTGCAAAGAAACATTTTCCAAGATGTAATAAATATCATTTGAACATTACCATTTTTTATGCCCACTGTTAATATGAATGTATATTATTTTTGTCATCTTCTTCCAGCGGTCTGTCGCCCATTCACGATTTCTTGTGACCACTCAACAGGTCATTATTTAAAAACGACCAGGATATGGGAAAAGGGGGATTTGGGAGGGCCTAGTGGTCTAGAGTGCCACGCTTGGACCTCTAGCTGGCCGGTCACCACTGGCTTGCGGTTGTGGTTTTGATCCCTGGTGTAAGCGTAAGTGACTTGGCTAGGAGATGCCAGGGGCGCCTTCTCAACACAGTGGGTTTACTCCAGGTACTCTGGTTTCCTCCTACAGGAAAGACCCCTGCGATATCACCTACGGTGTGGGATGGACTTTAAACACTAAGAACAACAACATATGGGAGATTAACCATTCATATTGATTTTCAAAATTTTCAGAATGTAAATTTCGAACAGTTTTGCAGTCTTACATGTACCTTTATGATCACATTTTGACTATCTGAGCTTGTACAGAGTTCATAGTGGATGGATTCTTTTAAAACTGGTTGACAATGATTTTAGTTGTTGTTGGTGGGAATATGATGGGGCTTTATGTTCCTTACAACTAACGTATGTGGTGTGTTTCCTATACATGTACTGATATATAGAAATCTAGAAATTTGGTGTGATGCTTTGAAAAAAGCTCTACTGCCTGCCAGTGATGTTGGAACTGTTGTTTTCACTTAAGCAGCTCGAGCTTGAGGCTATAGTTAGGATTGTTTGACACAGAAATTGAAAATAAATTCAAGAAATAATAAATATAGAGTATGATTTATTTAGTATATTTGAATTACATGTATACCTAGATAAAAATGTATAATACTCAACATCTGTTACTATAACGATTATACAGATTCTGGTCACATGGTCAAATACAAATAAAAGCATTTTTGATATGTTAATAGGATATTTATTGATGGTTATTTCATGAATTTAGATATTTAGAAAAACCATTGCATGAATATAAATAACTCATTATGATTACAAACTCAACACATTCAATATAATCAGGACATATGTACAACATAATTGGGACATGCATGTATGTCTATGGCCGTTTTCATTAGCCCAGCATAGGAGCAGAACAGTAGGACGTTAAACCCCATTTCATTTCATTTCATTTCACTGAAGACCATTAATACAAGGAAAGACCATGAATATAAACATTGTGGTGACATTAGACCAGTCATATAAACATTGTAGTAACATTAGACCATGCATATAAACATTTTATCACATAGTTATCTACATTACTGATTTTGTCTGGTGAAAGATTAGTTCAAGAGATAAATCCAAGATAAGACTGCTACAATGACATCAGACCACAAAATGTAAAAGTAATAGCTTAAGATCGTAAATATAAACATTATATAAGTGTTATTAGACAATAAAGTTAGGTGACATTAGACTATAAATGTTAACAGTATCCAAGTGGCATTATATGTTAACTACAAATGTAAAAAAATATTCAGTGGCATTACTATAAATGTAAACATTATACGAGTGACATTAGACTATAAATGTAAACATACAAGTGACATTAGACTATAAAAATAAAGATACAAGTGACATTAGACTATAAATGTAAACATTATACAAGTGACATTTGACTATAAATGTAAACATATGAGTGACATTAGACTATAAATGTAAACATATGAGTGACATTAGACATTATCCAAGTGAAATTAAACAATAAATGTAAACATTATACAAATGACTTTAGCATATACAATTTATACGAGATAGGTGAATGCCAGGTGGAAAAACTCGAGCACAGCTCAGTGACATCATGCCCCCAGAGAAATTCCAACCCTGTGTCCATCTCAAAGCCGAAGACTACTGACAGTGGGTCTCGAGATGGCTACCCGGGCGGCAGTTGGTATCAGGCTACTGTTAGTGTATCATAAACAGTTCAGTACTTAATTATACATGTACCACTAACATAAATATCAATTTTGTTTTTGTCATACCATTTATTATAAAAACAAACTGAATGCACTAATTGGATCAAGGTAGTGAGTAGAAGCCCATGTAATGTTCACATGTATAGTTTTTAAACTACAAAGTATGTAAAATACATTTGTTGTTTTCAATCCTGCTGTGACAGTTACAATGAGTAGTTATTGTCAAAGAATGTGGCTAGGCTGGTTGGTAAAGGTCAAACAGGGTGACATACATTAATACTACTTACTACTTCATAATTACATGTTTTATACTTTATAATTTGATACCACAGATCAAAAATATGATAATGGTATGAGGGTTGAATGGTTATAAAATAAGAATGCGTTTTTTTGTGATTTATTTACATATGATTCATTCTGAACAATATGACATATCTATAACTAACCTTTTTTACATTACAACTTTTAAGCATGCCAAGAGGGGTGGAT